CCCATGACAATATATAAGAAAATTAAAAACAAAATGTATCTGTTTTTAAAGGGGTGTTTGAAAATCCCGCAGTGTTGATATAGCTAAAAAGAAAAAAAAATCTATTTAAACTTTTATTTAATTTATCGTTATATATTGTCATAGACACTGTGACAAATATGATCACTAAGAAAAAAGACAGCTCTAAAATTATTCTACTGTTGTCTTACAATAAATATATATATGATACTGCAGAAATACCTCCGACATACACGTCACATTATGGTAATGCCTAGATGAAGACATCATTGCCACAAATATCTTAACAATATATGACAGGTATTTTTGCCGCACCCAGTGTGTCTTTTTGTGTGTGTGTATTATGTAGTGTTATATTAGAGCATGCGCATACCCAATACAAAACCGTACATCGTTTCAACGTTAAAAAATGTTTTAACGTTTCTTCGTATGGGGAAACCATGATAGTGTTAAATGGAAGAAACACAGTTTTGAACATGTTTTAATGTAACAGGGCATAATAAAGATTTATTGCTCTACTTTTGTATTGAGCCCCGTTTTAAATGTTTTGAACACTGAAATCTTACTCCTAGTTCTTTTACATTTGGATATATAGAAACAGAGGAAATGCTTACTGGGTCTGAATCTTATTAGAAACTAGCTTTCTTGAAATTCATATATTTTTCCCCTTTTATTTGTTATCATTAATATCGATTAACTTTACGTTTATTTTTTATATCCCAGAAATAAACTTGATAAAGCTGAGACGAAACTGCTTGTTTTTTAGCTTTTAAATTATACAGTAAAATGCCATATAATTTTTTTCTTATTCCTAGCTATCCTTAAATTAAGTACTACAAATATATATATATATATAATTACACCGAAAGCCTGTACAAATCGCTACACAATTGCAGTCGTGTTTTGATGCATATTAATCCATCTCATCAAGCAATTGTAAATAACTGAGTGAACGTTTTATTTAGATTTAAAAGTCAAATACAATCTTTTTCTACAAAAAAAAGACAAGAGTGTTATATGGTTTGTTGGCTTTACTCTGATCACCAATCAAATATAACCTCCGTTAAATTTAAACGAAGTGAAGAAGCAAAAATTAAAAATTACTTTAGAAATATGTCATGATCTGTAGATTGGCATCTAACGGCAGCCAGACGTAAAACGGGTACAAATGGTTACATAAATTATACAAACCAGAGAAAGCAGTTTTCTAAAAAAAAAAAAAAAAAAAAAAAATAATAAAAAAGTAATGGTGTGGAGTGGTAATTTAACAAAATGCTAAACAAGTTCCATGTTTTGTGAATTTCCTATATAAAATTTGTTTGGAGCGTATAAATAAATAGCTCCTTTCAGAAACTAATAAATAAATTAAATGCATAGAATTATTTGGTAAATTAATATGCAACAGTTGAATAAAGATTCTTCATGTAAGATGTTAATAACACAAGCTAATCAATGTAAAATATCTACAAAATACCAAGGCATCCGTACAAGATGTTACTAATACTACTAGGAGATTAATACAAAATTATATAAACTCCAAATATATCTTACAAACAGAAAGTCATGTATGTTGCAACATACCTGACTTATATTTCTGTTTGTAAGATTCATTTGGAGTTTATATGATTAGTATGATATCTCCTGTCCATTTTATTTTTTTACTGTAGTATATCTCCTGTCCATTTTATTTTTTTTTTTACTGTAGTATATCTCCTGTCCATTTTATTTTTTTTTTACTGTAGTATATCTCCTGTCCATTTTATTTTTATTTTTTACTGTAGTATGATATCTCCTGTCCATTTATTTATTTATTTTTTTTACTGTAGTATGATATCTCTTGTCCATTTTTTATTATGGTATATTTTTCAACTGTTGGAAGTATGAAATGGATTATGGTTAAAGGCAGTGAAAAGATTCTGTGTTAAAAATCATTACCAATAGTTTTATACAAAAACATTTAGAAATCATCAAATAGAGATATTTTTTTATTGCTTTAAACTGATTTGATGTCATTAAAAAAAAATAACAGTAAACAGATCGTCGTTTTTATTACCTGGCATGGGGTGGGGGGTGATGAAAAAATATTTGGTGATGAGTCTTCTGGAAAATCAAACATGTATTAATTTTTAATATATTTAATAAAGCATCATTTCTAAATATAAAGAACAAATAATGAATATTAGAGCATGCTTACTTTGATATAAACATTTCAAAACCGGTTTGGTTTTATTTTTCGAAAAGTACGTCAAATACGACTTACTAAATGTAATTCTTCCGAGTTTTCTTGATATTAGCTCTGCACCGTTATGTGGGGTTTCTTTTTATGATAGATGCGTTGTTCGTGTCTCAGGAGATGAGATTGTCAGTGTTAAATTCGATGGCTTCAGAACATTGCATATCTGTGCTGGATATTTGGGCGCGATTAATCATTTGTGGCAATGTCTTCGTCGAGGACGTAAGAGAATTAATCAGAAATAACTGAAGTTAGTTAAATGGACGTGAAGTTGCGGATGAGAGTAATTATGATAGATTTAATTAGAGATTGTCGGACGAGATAGGTGTTAAAATGACAGAGGGAGATGGCTACGAAACTCTCTGCCAGGACAAAGCCGAAGATGCAGCACAATTATCTTTGGCTAATAATCGATTCCAAGCAAAGGCATCGTTTCATTCGGACCGAAGCAACAGTAATGACGTTCGTATTAAACTTTGGATGAACAAGTCTCTCGCGATGGTAAGGTCCGTCACCTCTTATCAGACGTTTGTTTATATCCCATGTCGATAAATTCGGAGGAAAATGATACGATATAATCTGCTATTCTTTAATATCTTACATCCTTGGCCATTTTCTTTAGAGATTAAACTCGGTAGCGTTATTGAAAGGAGAGCATGCATAGCAAAAGGCGTAACCTGAAAAGTGCGACGCTGTTTCAATATGGCTAAGGGAAGCGACGATTTTTGCAAATATATGAAAGTTCTCTCGTCGACAAAACTTCAGGTTCCAAAAGAAAATGACTAAATATATTTATATTCTTGATAAAATCTTAAGAATCGGCAATGTTACTGGTCCTGCCCCGGCATCCCGTCTTCATTCATATTCTCACCGCGGTAATGTAGCTTCCCTGTAACTGTTTTGAGGAACTTTGTTCTGTGGTTTCCAAACTTTCTAATTTTAAGTGCAGTACTAGATTGGCAACAAGATCTTATCATTTTACATTTGAATTGTTTAGATGAAACTGTACGTTTTATGCTAACAGTTTATTTTCTCGCCCATGGAACTCTCTTCCGGCTTCTTGCTTTCCAGCCAACTATGATTTGCTAAAATGTAAGGGCAATGTAAATTATTATCTTCAGTCTTCTTAGTTCTTCTTTTATTATACTAGCTCCTTAATGTTTTTCATTTCTTCTTCAACACTCCGTTACCTCTTGTCTTAGTGGATTTATTACCTTGCTTGGGGTGAAATGATTTAAAACATAATTGTTTGTTCAAATGCCAATTAATTAATTTCAGTTTACAATATAGAAGTACTACCAGTATAACCCGTCTTTGACAGTCTTTCATTACTGGGATTTTTTTACCGTTCAATTGGAGCAGTTTAAGTTTGAAGTCAGCCCACCCGAAAATCAATATTAGTATCAACAATTGGGTGCAACTGAATCACATCCCCAAATGGAGGGGGTAACAATTTGAATGCGGAGGGGTTGGCTCCTGCAATGGTAACTGTATAATAATATTAATAATATTGTAATAATTTAAACTATTTTTAAAGTTTTTTATTTCCAAGAACAGATAGTAAATAGTAAAATGTTGCTGACAGTTATAATGGACAGGAAGTAGTGGAGAGCCATTGTCGCCAACAATTTCGACTCAAAACCGTCACTGAAGAATTATCTATCAAACAAAAAGAAATTCATCGAAACAGAATGAAAACAGTGGAAATGCATAAACAACATCCAATCACACACATACACACATTTTGAGAATTATAGATTGAAGATCTTTTGGACAAGCTATAGTTCAGTCCGGAGTTAAGATCTGTTCAACAGACAGCAGTTTTTCCCGCCATATTGCAGCTTCGCGCTTAAAATTTAACAGGGAAAACTAATTCAACTGAGGATCCCAACATGTTTCTATTCTGGCTTTTATTCCTTATATATTAGAATAGGCTACTTAAAAGTTCTCTTTGTTCAAGGATTGAGTGATGTGTCTTTATCTATTGTACGGCTAATCAAGTCTTTGTGGCCCATCTAAACCGAAACAGATTTTGGATTTTAGGAGGCCGCCCCTAATCCAAGAACAGACCCACTTCCTGTATAGTATGACATGTGAATTGTTTCTTGTATGAAAGAATATCGAGCATCTGTTTAGGAATTATTATTTAGAAATTATGTAGTATTTGAGATTTGTTCAGGAACTTTTCGATACGAACTGCTATCCGCGTCCCGGATATGACGATAAACTACATCCGCATCCTGGGTAAGACGATAAACTACGTCCAACAGCAAGATGTTTTGAGGAGCACGGGACCACCTCTTAATTGCTGGTGTTCTCAGGTTCACCCTGACCCAGGGTTGGTAGCACCTGTTAGGGTCCCTACAAACTGGGGTCGAAACACTATGAAAGTGTAAAAATAGGTTTTAATACCAGAAATACTTTGTAAAAAAATATTGCCAGCAATACATTTTCGAAAAAAAAAATATTGCCAGCAATACATTTTTGGAAAAAAAAAATATTGCCAGATATAGATTGTTTGAAAGAAAACATTACCAGCAATAAAAAGTGTCGGCATTAAATAACCTGTTGTTGATATGCTGTAAACCAAACCGCTATCACTTACGTTATTTGGACTGTTATCCTCATCTTCATTGCCAAATTCACAACGTTTCGGCCGTTGTACGCTCCGGCATTCTTCAGGTGACTGGAATTTCGAACCGAACCCTTTATTTCAGATATATAGACAGAACTGCTGTCAGTCTCGACCTACGGTCATATTAGGTAGAAACACCCGTTCCCGTACGATCACCAAAGTTAAGCAACGTTCAGCCTGGTCAATACCTAGTTGGGTGATCGCTTGCGAATATCAGCTGTTGTAAGCTTGGATGTCTTGGTGGCGTAATGAATACTGGATCGGGATTGTTAATGGGAAAATGGTTCCGATACCATTTGTGTTCGTTATATTTACTTACGCGCATTTTGCGATGGTATAAATCTACCCTTTCTTCCCCTAGCTATGGATTAATTAGTAAAATAATGATTAGTAATAATAATCAATATTTAGACTGGGAAAACTAATTCAACTGAGGATTCGAACATAGTTTTGTTTTGGTTTTTATTTTTAGAAGAGGGCACTGAAAACTTATGTTTGATCACGGTTTAAGTTATTTGTTTTTATTTATTTTACGGCTTATCAACTCTGCGAGTTATCTAAACCGAAACGTACTTCGGTTTGTAGGAGGTCGCTTACAGTATTTGATGTTCCCAAGCGGTCCGTCATCTAGGTACTGACTGGGCTCGGCACTGCTTAATTTTGATCAAGAAACCGGCATAAAAAAATATTAAGTTGGTCGTCGTCTTAGATTGTGAATTTTACAAAATATTTAACCATTTGTAACATTTTCCGACTTTGAGAATTGGAGTCGAAACCGTGCGGAGTTCAAGATAATGGCGCCAAACGAGTCAGCATTTCTTTTGTCAACAAAACCTGTAAACCAATGCTTTTTACGAGATAATTCGGTATTAAATAGCCTGGAAAAGATTGATAAGCTGTAAAACAAACGATAATTTCTTTTTCTTTTTTTTTTTTTCTTGCTTTATTCAGAAAACTATTTACATTTGCCCCCACACAAGTCTATAAAACGTTCATTCGAGCTTGGGAGATGCATTTTACAGCTTATCTCCTCTTTGTGGGTTATTTAAACCGAACCACATTTCGGATTGTAGGAGTTCCTTTACAATACCAGTGTTTCCAAGTGGACCCTCCTAGAATTATTATAACCGAAAAAAATCTTGCTATCTAAAAACATTTTCTGGCTTTAAATGGCCTACAATGGGTTGATAAGCTGTAAAAAATGAATCGATCAAGGCTGAGAGATTTTTAAATAGTTACTCGGTAGGACACTTATTTTTATCTAAACATAATAATTTGGTGCAAATTGTTTCAATATCTGCACTTGTATTGCTATTTTTGTTTTCGAGCTTGGAATAGTTCATCACAATTTACATTTAAGGTTCACACGCTGCACAAGGCCCGGGGGACACTCGAGGTAGAGGTTTACGTTAAAGTGTAGGTAGGTTAAGAGGGAAAGATAACGCTTAACACTAGATTTGAACAGGTTAAGATTATAAGTATCGAGGGAAACATTCTCTTGGGAGACTGTTATAGAGAACAGTGCTTCGCGGGAAGAAGCTATTCTGTTGGAACTTACTTCTCTCTGATGGAGTAAGGAGAGTGTGTGTGGTTTGTTACTGTGTAATTGACATGGCGGATCCTAGCCGTGGAAGTTAGACCTGACGGAACCAAGGAATGTAGTTCGTCCGAGCACTTTCCATGGGAGTGTAAGTAGCGATAGGATAATGAGAGGCTCGCTGCATCCCGCTTGTGAGAGAGCGAGTTAAAGGGTGGAATATAATTATTTCCCAACAAGGACATTACTCAGACTCTCTCAAGACTGGAAATTAAGTTATGGGAAACTCCCGCCCAAATAGGGCAATGGTACTCCATTTTCAGCCTGATCTAGCTCTTAAAACGGTAGAGGATAGTATGTGGAGTCAGATACTTACTGGAGCGGTACAGGGATCCGATCATTTTACCTGCATCTTTAGCGATAGATCGTATATAAGGGTTCCACTTGAGGTCGTCGTATATAAGGGTTCCACTTGAGGTCGTCGTATATAAGGGTTCCACTTGAGGTCGTCGTATATAAGGGTTCCACTTGAGGTCGTCGTATATAAGGGTCCCACTTGAGGTCGTCGTATATAAGGGTTCCACTTGAGGTCGGGAGTGAATTTGAGGCGCACTATCCACTCGAGCCACTCTGCCTTCTCAAGTGGGCATCCGTTCTTTTTGACTGGCTGTAGGTATATTAAATAGACAACTATAGTCTTAATCTTTTAGGGTATTTTTTTCTAGTTAGTAAACATCGCGAGATGTTTATATACATTGAGCAAACAATCCTTTTTGGATTGTTCCATATCAAACATACGAAAATCTTTTTACTTGTTTATATGAATTGAGCGAAATCTACAAAAAAAAAATTAAAGGCTATTTTCAAACTCTTTAAGTGGAAATAACAAGTAACGCCAAATTTGCTTTTCAGCTTTTTTTTTTTTTTCGATTTCCAGTCTTTCAAGTTAATGACAGCGTTTACGTCTGTGATGTTCCGCAGCATTTAATTTTACTTAACAAGCAGAAATTCATCAAATGGGCTTTTAGCAGACGAAATTCCGGAGTTTTATAATGACAGGTGAAATGTTGAATTTCATTCGATTATTGCGGGCGCAAGTAACTATAAGGTTTCACATTTGGCGTGGAACTTTTTTTACCATTTTAAAGCTTCTAGTTAATCGAAAATTAACAGAACGAATCTTTTTTTTTTTTTTTTTTTTTTTTCAAACAGCTTGAAGTTTACGTTTTCTTATTCGCTTTCTTAAAAGGTTCAAGATGAATGTCTTAAATGTGGCAACATTCGTTGGCCTCTTTAAAAGGGACCAGTACAAAGCAAACAAATAAAACACTATGCAGAGAAATGTGTGAGGCGGTTATGCTGCAAGGTGTGGGGGAGGATAATCTACAACGGTGGATACAAGATTCTAGTTTATTTTTCTTTATTTTTGTTCTGGCAGGAACCAGTTGTAAACTAATTTGAAAGCTCGTTCATGTTCCGCCCTATGCTTTATTTAACCTTTCAACGGCAGGAAATTTTTGCACGTCGAAACAGTTAAAATTAAAGAAAGACCTCCTTTTCTAAGTTTGTATTTATTCGCACTTTAATTATATATATATATATATATATATATATAACTTAAATTACGGAAGATCTTTTAAACGATTACGCCTGAAAATATTCAATGCACAGGGAAGATGTGCATTCTTTGCACCAAGCTGTCACCATTGTCGTTTCTTTTGTCTTCTTTATGCATACATGCGCATATAGAACTGTCTTGCGATTGTTCTTCCAACTTCCATTCAAATAACTTTATGGAAGCTATGAATCCAAATGTTGCCCCACCTCTCCCAGTTAAAGCTTAACTAGATCTTCAATCTGAAAATTATCTTCAAATTATTTTTAATACAATTTTCACTTTCAAAGAAAAAAAGAAAATCAGGATAATCCCAAAACATGTTTCATCTTAGAAAAGATTTAAAGATTAAGCCGTACATCGCAAATCAATCAAATACATATGCAGGCAACTACTCCTGTCAAAACAGTGCTATGATTCAAACCTGGATGTCGTAGAGTCGGAAAGCAAGCAGTAAAACCACTGAGACACACACACATATATATATATATATATATATATATATATATATATATATATATATATATATATAGTGAACCAAAAGAAGGTTGACAAGGGTTTGTGCTAAAACTTTAAGAGCAGTCTGTAAATATGCTGATGATCCATTTCCCGAGAAATTGATTAGCCGAAGAGGTCCAACTGATTGGCCCACACGTTCACCTGATTTTACTCCAGGGGAGTATTCAAGGGCAGTTTATAGTCGAAAACCAGGAAGTGTTCGTGATTTGAAAAATTACATTAGAGATGCATTTCAAGGAATTAATATCCAAAGAGTCTTGTGTAAAAATATTTGTTGAAAGGTGGAAGGCAGACTTCAAACCTGTGTAAATTGTGATGGAGAGCAGTTTGAGCAGCTGTGTTCAATAAAATCTTCAGTGCTTTTTTTATTTTATTATTGTATATGTCATAATTGTTTATCAAATTTTAATTGTATTAGTATGTAATTTTAAAATAGATGTTATCATTTATTGTTCACCTACTTTTTGTCCGACGTTGACATATTAACATTAAAACAGCATAATTGTATATAAGGATTTTAGTTTTTTTCCGTATATATTTTTCTTCATACTGTCGGATTTATATCCATATATTTGCATATATATATATATATATATATATATATATATATATATATATATATAAATAAAAAGAAAGAACAGTAAGATATAAAATCCGGTGTTTCTTATAGATTTTTTTTTTACAAAATAGTGCTCAATGTAAATTTACAGAGCATTAATATTATAAATTAATTGATTTAAAATATGGTTATTTTCGCTACACAGTTCCAACCATGTTTCAAAAATAGAAGCTAAAAACCCTAATTTTTTTTTTGCAAATAAATTAAAAGCATTAGTTCTATTTCATCTTCAAGCTAATTTTGGAGTAACTTTTAAAATTTACCGGGTTTTAAATACACAGCTAAAATCACGTTTCCATGGTTACAGAATATTCTACTCAAATTGAACAAGGGGTGTCTAGATTTTCCTTATGACAGTATCATTGTATCAGTTATTAGCTACATTTTGGTAAGGGGTGAGGATGTATTTTACACTGAAACCTGACGTCAGTTGAATGGATGTCGTCTGAATTCAAAAAAAAAAAAAAAAAAAAAAAAAAAATTTTCTTAACGGTAAAAATTTTTCAACGTCATCTTTTTTTAAAATTAAAGATTTTTTTTTACAATACTTTTTATTTAACTACGATTTGAAATATTTTCCTTTTTATTTTTATTTTTTTATATTCTTTTTAAGAACAGTTAAATGTATTAGAATCCATTATATTATGTAGGATTATTTTAACATTAAGTTTAAGTATGTATATGAGGTTACACATTTTTTTTTTTTTTTTTAAAATTTATGACTATGACAGCAGAAATGGTTACTTAATTTCACTGATTCAGTAAACTTTTCTTTTATATATAAACCTATTATAATATTTCACATGTACTTACTGAGGACATGGGTCATTCAAAAGCTTACATGTTATGGTATTTCATATTAATTTTATTTTACTATAGTGTTTTTTTGGATTCTTTTTAATGCGTGTAGTATTATTTAATCAAAAATTTAGGTTAG